TGAGAGAGACTTCATTTTTTGTCATGAAATACAAAACGTTACAGAATATATATATATAAATAAAATAAATGGGGATATACAGAATCTCGTCTCTTCTGAGGTGATTCAAGGTTTGTGATCCCTCCAACCTTTATTACACAGTCATTGTCGACATTTCTGAAGACTTCATTGTGTCAGATATTCAAAGGGAAGAGACATGTGTTTGGAGAACATACTATTCTCAGAGAAGACGGTACAAAAAGGATCCGTTCCAAGGGGGGCCCGCCTGCTGATTCCAGAAACAGCGGATAAGCAAAGCACTTTCAGTATGTTTAGTCTCTGTGCATGGTTCAGAGAGGGGAGCCCTGGCCCAGTCTTGCCAAAGGACTGAGTTTCCTGCCCTCAAGGGAAGTTTCCCAGAAAGCAGGAACTGCCACCTCCCTCCCCGCCTCCCCAAAAATGTAGCTTCTTCATTTCACTGGAAGCTGCTTCCCTCCACAATGTCAGGAGACAAGTGTGTTTCCTTTGAGTCACTGGTATATAGCATAGCCTCTGGTGCCACCTCGTGGTCAATCCTGACACTACATATTGGGAATGTGTATTTCTGGGTTTACTTTATTTTATTTTATTTTCAGCCAGCACGTAAAGGAAACCACAGGTACTGATCTTGTGGATACTACAGTCCTACTGTGCTCATCAGATGCCATCTGTCGGTTTCATTACCAGATGCTCTTTTCTATTCAGATCTGGCCTTAGTAGAATAATATAGCATTTGGGGATAAAGATGCAGCCCAGTAACCCCAGACTGGAGGATAGGATGGAGAAGATCTGCACGGCCACCGTGTACTTCCCTTTGGTGCTCAGGTAGGTGGGCACAAAGGACACCCAAACGCTGCAGAAGACCAACATGCTGAAGGTGATCAGCTTGGCTTCATTGAAGGCCCCAGGCAGCTTCCTGGCCAAGAAGGCTACAGCAAAACAGATGGCAGCCAGAAAGCCCATGTAACCGAGGGCACTATAAAACATGACAAGGGAGCCTTCGTTACACTGCAGTACGATCTGCCCAGGTTGGGAATGTGTGTCGGAGTCTGGGAATGGAGGAGAGATGCTCAGCCAGAGAAGGCAGAGGCCCACCTGGATGCTCGTACAAGAAAGGACAATGGAGTGGGCCAAAGTCTTCCCCAGCCATTTCCTCATCGTGTTCCCTGGCTTAGTGGCCATAAAGGCTACCACTACCATGATGGTTTTTGCCAACAGAGAAGAGACGGCAACGGAGAAGATGACGCTGAAGGCAGTTTGTCGGAGAAGGCAGGTCACTCTCTGGGGTCGGCCAATGAAGAGAAAGGGGGACAAGAAGCAAAGGAGGAGGGAGCCGAGGAGGACGTAGGTGAGGTGCCTGTTGTTGGCTTTGACGATGGGAGTGTCTCGGTGTTTGATGAAGATGCCTAAGACAAAACTGGTGGCCATGGACAGGAAGAGGGCAAAGAAAGCCAGGATGATCCCCAAAGTTTCTTTGTAAGACAAGAAAGTTAGAAGTTTAGGAACACACTGATCTCGGTCTTTGTTGGGATGCTTATCGTCCGGACACCTGCTGCAAACCTCTGCATCTGAAATGAAAAACAACAGCTGTGGCAGCATTGTGATCTACTTTAGAGTAATAACAGCCTGTTATCTTTTACGTTAAGGCAAGCGAGAGCTTTTCTGTTGCAATCGGAGATGGCGGATGCCATCAGCGCATGGGTTTTTCTGCAGGCATCTGGCTGTTCACTGAACTCAACAGGCCTTCCTCTGACTTGAACCAACAGGGCTCTTCATCCGTTCAAGTTCAGGAAACATCCAGATCTAAAAAGCCTTCTATTTCCGTGGTGGTTTTGATTAAGATAGTTGGCTGGAGAGCTCCATGGCTTAGGCATCTGGCTGGAGAGCCAGGGGCTTGGAGTTCGATTTCCCCATTGTGACTTCTGGGAGAAGAGCCAGCCTGTGTGACCTTGGGCAAGCTGCAAAGTCTCAGGATGCCCCCAGAAGGGAGTGGTGAACTACTTCTGCATATTCTCTACCTAGAAAACCCTGGAAAGAGTCACCATAAATCAGAGCTGAATTGACAACATATAATTAATTAAGATGGTTTCATTTAGATAATGTTAGGTGCTGTCAGTTTGGAACCGATATACAGTAATGACCTAATAGGGCTTTCAAGGTAAGTGAGATACTTAAGGAGTGGTTTTATGAGTTCCACTCCCCCAGTGAGCCTCCATGGCTGAGTGGGAATTCAAACTCTGCTCACCAAAGTCCTAGTCCATCACTCTGTCCATGACTACACCACACTAGGAATCCGCGATTCAGATAATGTCCCTCTTTTTAAAAAGTAATGGTATGGGATCTTTTAATTGTATGGGATATGTCTTAATATCATTCCTCTGGTGACACGGGAGTCTTTGCTAGTCAAAGAAGAAAAGTTCTGTCAGATGTGGTCTGGAATTTGAGGAGGTGGTCAGAAGAGCCTGATGTTCAAGCTAGATTCTGAAAAGGAAGAGGCACCCAAGATCATATTGCAAATATCTGGCTACGTACTAGAGTGCACCGGAGAATTTCAGAAGATCAGTCTGTGCTTTATAGGCAACACCAAAGCTTTTGACTGGGTGGATCATGACAAACTATGGGCTATTCTGAAAGATTTCTGTGTGCCTCAGCACTTGGTTGTTTGGATGCATAACCCCTTCACTCTTTCCCAACATCAGGGTCTTCTCCAGGGAGTCTTCTCTTCTCATGAGATGGCCAAAGGATTGGGGCATCAGCTTCAGGATTTGTCCTTCCAGTGAGCACGCAGGGTTGATTTCCTTCAGAATGGATAGGTTTGTTCTCCTTGCAGTCCATGGAACCCTCAAGAGTCTCCTCCAGCACCACAATTCAAAAGCATCAGTTCCTGGTAGCAGAACCAAATTTCTTCAAATAATAATTTAATCATAGTAATCTTAGAACTGCAGAGCTGGAAGGGCCCCTATGAGTCATCAAGTCCAGCCCGTGTCAAAGAGGCACAACTGGGGACTGGAATCGAATTCCCAATCTTTGGCTCCACAGTCAGAGGCCTAAACCACCGAGCTATCCAGCAGTTCAATAGGTGTTTAGCACCTGGTGAGCAGCAGCACCCACCCCATTTTATTTCTGTAGTAATGGTAGGGATGTGAATTAAGCCATTCTAAAATCTGAAACTGTACATTTTTCAAGGGAGGTGAATAGGAGGTCTTAGCTTCCGTTTTAATTTGGAGGGTCACATACCCCCATTGTCAGATATCTGAAGAATGTATCCACTCCTATGCCCCCACCTGTTTTTTCCCCTTTAAAAACTAGGTTTTAAATTGAAAAAAAGGCCACTCATATCTTCGAGTGACCAAAATAAATATAAGTTAAACGCTTTATAAGCTGTATGTCTATATTAATGGCCCCCATGTTTTCCTGGACAGTACAAAGGGATTATGGGCCCAATTTCTAGTCCCAAATTTGATCACTCTACTTTTCTCCCATTAACTCCTACCTCTCACTTCTCTTGTAGAGTTTGCAGTTTCAAATAGGGCTTTTAGCTGCTCTTACAGTTTTATTGCTTCATGATTGTCATATCCCTTTAACTCCATAACAGGAAATAATAAATATTTGTTTTAAAATAAATAACATTTTAATGGGCTTTGACTTGTAGGATCAAATCGATTCTGAATGATCTCCGGGGGCAAAAAAAGTTGAAACTGAGGTTGTCCTGTTTGGGGCACATCATGAAAAGGCAGGATTCTCCGGAAAAGACAGTATTTCTGGGAAAGGTGGAAGGCAGCAGGAAAAGAGGAAACCCAAATACGAGATGGACTGGCTCCCTAAAGGAAGCCACTGGCTTGAGTTTACATGAGCTGAGCAGGACTGTAGACAGAAGACGGGACATTCTGGAGGTTGCTCATTCATAGGGTCGCCATAAGTTGGAGGCCACTTGGAAGCACACGCCAACAACAGTCAAGAGAGCTACCCAGTTGGAAAGGTCAGTGAATCGGCTACCACAGGAGAAGAGTTCGATTCC